AGTTGAATGAAGTATTGAATTGGTGAGCCAATCTTGAGGGGGAACTTTATGTTCTTAACGTGTGATAAAGAAGGCCATTAGTGCGTCTTTACATACAGTGTCGGAGAGAAGGCCAATAGTGCGTCTTGAAGTCACGGTATCTAGAAGAAGGCCCTGAGTGCGTCTGCTAGATACACCTATCGGGGATAAACGAAGGCCGCAGCGCGTCGTTTATTCGCAACCCACATATAGGTGAACACACGATCCGTCATCATTGGTGCTTTCGTTGAGAGGTGCTGATCGTGTGGTTATCTATCTTATCTTTTTATTTTTTTTCGGTTTGCCTTTTGGTGAGGGACCTAATTTCTCTTCTTTCTTGTTCGAAATTTTCGAATTAATATTGGAATTTTTCATTATTTTCGTGTCATAAAAAAAAAGTGTCATCTTGTTAGTCCTTTGTTTATTTTTTTCGGTTATTACCTTTTGTTGAGGGGCCGAATTTCTCTTTGTTTCGATTTTTTTTGAGTCTTGTGGGGGTTCGAATTTTTCGAAATTTTCCCCAATTTATTTTCGATTTATTTTTTTTAGAGTAAAAAAAAAAATAAAATCATCATGATGTTACCATTGGATGAGTTAGATCTGGAAGATCTTGAGTATCTCGAAGGATTGGAAAGGGAACTAACCGCGTGGGAGCAAGAATTTTTGGAGGAGCTGCACGAACGTAGAGATTGGGAAGCCCGTGAAAGACAAATCGTACAAGCCCGAGAAACAATGGTGATCGATGCCAATGGCTATGAAGATGAAGGAGTGCTGAATTTTCTAATCCTTGAGGACAAGGAAAGTCTCGAAAAGGAGGGGAATGATACGGAAGTGGTCATCAACCCCGGTGAGTCTGACAAGGATGATGGCGATGATCTTGCTTTATGGTTAGAAAACATGTTGGAAGAGCCATCTAGCCCTATTCACCGGCCATCATGCGTAAGGGATTGGCCGAAAGGATGTGGTCCAAAGGCTGGGTTGAAGCCTAAGAGATGCAAGATCAAAAGAACTCGAAGGAAAGGCAAGGCAAAAGCAAAGGAAAAGTGTTGGTGCAAGCCTTGTGCGAGAAAAAGGCGAGTTCGCAAGATGGTGGCTCGAAAGGGAGGTAAGAGTAGAATGGAGGATGGTTGGATTTGGAGAGTTGGTGATTGCATTGGGATGGATGGATGGGACCCATGGCCAACGGGCGAGCCAACGGAATCGGACGACAAAAGGATCGAGGAAGATCGGTTATCGGGTGTATGGCGCGCATCGTGCCTTGATGCGCGCGGATGGCCGAACGATCGAGTACGGGAGGAGTCAAGTGCGATCGGAGGTGGCGAAGAGACGAGGAGAACGGGTTGCGCCAAGGCAGCGCACGAGTACAAGGGAACCGGCAGTGGTGCGGTGTTCACCGGCAGTAACGCGCGGGCGTCGAGCGGCGAGGACGCGACGCACGCTAGGCGCGAAGTAGGCGATCGGGACGCATGGGCGCTGGGGACAACGCGCGGGGCGCAGGACGACAGCGCGAACGGCACGGGCATATGGGACGTGCGCGACACCCGCGAGAGTGGTGGGGACGCACGGGAGTTGGGCAGCAGTAGCGGCGGGCGCGCATTAGAGCGCGAGTGGAGCGGCAGCGCGGGAGAAAGTCGAGACCTAACGGGCGTAGGAGTGTTGGCCACGGATGTGCACACGCACGAAAGAGTCGGCGTCCAGCAGGGGCGCGAGGGAGGCGACGCGTGGGCTACAGGCGCGCAAGGCCCAATCCGCGAAGAACTAGGCATGACGGGCGACGTATGCGGGGCGCGCGCACGCGAAGCCGCGCGCGACAAGGAATAGCGCCGAAGGCGCGCGCGTGGGACGGACCGAAGGAGTTGCGTGGCCGAGGAGTTTGAACATGTGATGAATTAGGGAGCTTCTAGATTTGCTTGGTGTGCAAGCCAAGCATTAGTATTTTGGTAGCTTTAGGATTTTAT